ATAGCCTATTCAGGAGAGTAGGCTACTAAATAAAAAATAACATGCAATTTTCATGATCCCTCTTATTTTGTTTCAATTATTAACATTTTGCACATTCTGCAAGGGTTATGTAAACTTTTTAGCACAACTATATATATATATATATATACACACACTTCCATACAGAAATTGAAAGCATGAATCGAATAAACTAACCTGACTAACTTAACTCATTTCATTCATTTTTGTATGCAAGATCTCAATGAAACGTTATGGTCTACCTTTGATATAATTTTACATTTTATATTTAATACGTTATAAAAAAAAAAGTTTTAAAATGTTAAAATATATCACAATTTTATTTATCACTGGTAGCTATTTCTTTCAGAATCCTCCTGCACATCCTTTCAAAAGCCTTGATTTTGAAACTTTGCCTCAGAGGTTTAACATCGTTTATCATTTTAATAGGGTAAAAGTGACTTTTGCCACCTGTAACGTTACTCCTGCACATCCTTTCAAAAGCCTTGATTTTGAAACTTTGCCTCAGAGGTTTAACATCCTTTATCATTTTAATAGGGTAAAAGTGACTTTTGCCACCTGTAACGTTACAAAGAAGGTAGAAGAAGACAACCCGCTATAAGTCCCTTCAGGTAAAGACAAGTAATGTTATCATAAAAACACAACAAAGTTGGACTTTCTCCCCGACTGAGAATTTACCTCACAAACGCAGCTACAACAGAAGCCGCACCTTAACGTTAAACACTGCATAGATATAGATATCTGTACTTACGAGCACTCTGTTTATTAATACAAAAAATGAACGGCCGTGGAAATATAAACGCAAAGCAGCTCAAATGACAGCTGCAGGCGACCGTCTGCGAGCGAGGATTCGAGGAAGTGCGGAATGTTGTAGAGATGACGTCACTGCGCCCCCGCCTACTTTTTAACGTCATTGCGCATACACTCAGAATAAAAATAAAACAGTGGGAAAATAAGAGTTATTTAATATTTATAATAGTATAGTAAAAGTATGATAATTATAATAGATGTATAAAATTGAATTATAAATGTATTAAAAATTCTCAACATTGGAAACCTTTGCACGTCACTTTTCTGTGCTGAAGACTAACTTGTTTTTCTGCTTGCATTAATATCACTGAAAAAGTACCCACTAATAACTTTTTAAGTTCTTAAAAATGCGCCAGGCTTTGTTTTTGTAGCAGAAACAATTATGTAAAAATGAATACCAAGCAAGTTGTTTTAGATAAATTAGACATAATGTCACACATTTATTAAGGTGACTTTTGTGGCATTCGTGTAAAATGCAGGACATGACATGAACAACAGGAAAAACATCTCTTCTGTGTTTTTCTACAACTTTTGTAACATATTTTGATTATTGTTACATGGCATGACAGGACATGAATTAGGCCTACAACAAAACGATTTTAGTATTTTTTGCATTTTTGTGACATCTGACATAACAATTACACTTTGGCAACAAAGGTCAAAACAAATTGTTGATATGGCAGGAGTGACCAGGCAAATTGCCTAGAGCTGTTTTTCTTTTTCACTTTTATTGTTAAAAATGTATGAAAGAGAGGACAGCAGAAGTTGGCAAAGTTTGCCAGTTTGAAACATTTGATAAAAGTGATAATTCTGCCAATTATGCCTTACACACTGACTTTAACATCTGTTTAAAAATGTGATGTTCAGATCTGAAGCTTCATTATGGTGACCATCTGCAATAAAACCTGAAATTATAGCCCTTTTAGTTGTGAAGTAAACAGAGATATGAATTTTTTAGACCATTTTGTCAACATATAACTCACATATATTATCAAAAGTCTATTTAACTGCAGTTTTCTACCATTTAAATTTATATTTTCAGTGAGAAGTGTTTGTGTAGCATCTCTCTCCATTATAAAACACATTTTTGGTAACACGGCCTTAGATGAAAAAGCCATTGTGGATTAACTATTCTATTAATCATTTTTTCAACAAGGGCTGTTTATCTAAACCATCTTCATTACTTGCAATTTCAAGCAACCTGTAGGGAGAAGATCTCGAAGCATTTCTGTTTTTAAGCAGCATAGTCGATAGCAGAAAACCTGAAATTGAGTCAAATGTGAGTATTTGCAAATACCATAAGTACTCAGCCATAAATATCTGCAAAAAGCGGGAAAATCAAAACCATAGCGGGTTGTAGGTGGAGTAGGAAATGGATAACAGCAGAACACTATTCTAGATTCACAGTGCATGTCTCCACAAAACAAGAAAAAAAAAAAGAAATATTGTGTGACAAGACTGATATGAATGATAAAGAAGTGTCTTTCTCTTTCTCTATTCGATTTGAAAATATATAAAGTGTCTCACAGCACTCAATACAGAACATTTAATGTACTTTAAAGTGATTCCATTCCTTTTAAAGTCTCCCAGATTCTTCAGTTTTCCTCATCCCAGGATAAGTCTTCCACCATGTGACTTCAACACGCCGGCTTTCAACATCACAGATGCTGATCAAACGTGCTTTTCTCCTCATAATAAAGGGCTGGATCAAACAGTGATAGTTTGGTCTCAGTTAGGTCCCACTGTAAGCTTCACGAGGTAGCTGCGAGGTCTCATCGATGGTGACCACCAGTTCTTCCGGCTTAATGGCGCTCGGGCAGTCAGAGTGATTGTACACGATGCAGCGAATGTCCGCTGGATGCGAGAGTTCGCTCATTTCATTCATGCTGCTGCTGATGCAGTTCACCTCACTCTTGCTCCTGCGGTTGTCTGAACGGGGCCCAAACACCCACTCTGATGAGAGACACAGATTACAGATGATTATCAGTCACATTGAGACTCAAATGGATCCAGAAGGGACATTCACTTTGAGACAGGCAAGCTGGGACAATATAAAAACGGATAGGTATTATTCTGGATGCTGACTGGCCAATAAAGCATTCCAGTCATACTGAAGGACATACTTGTAACAGCTCTGATGTTAAACACCTGTTCTCCAGCATCCATAGAGACCAATTATTAAGCTTTGTTTATGTGTCAGCGACCACACTCCAAACATTTGGATTAATTAAGATGTTTCTGAAAGACGTTCCGCAAAATATGAAGCAGCAACTGTTTTTAACATTGATAATATTAAGAAATATTTCCTGAGCAGCAAATCAGCATATTAGAATGATTTCTGAAGGATCATGTGACACTTAAGATTGGAGTAATCATGCTGAAAATTCAGCTTTGCATCACAGGAATAAATTACATTTTAAAATATATTTAAATAGAAAATGGTTATTTTAAATTCTAATAATATTTCACAATATTACTGTTTTTACTGTAGTTTTAATTGATTGAATGCAGCCTTGGTGAGCATAAGAGACTTTTTTTATAAAAACATAAAAAGGTGTTCCAATTATTCCAAACTTTTGATCGGAAGTGTGTATGCAAAAATAATGTTTCAATAACACTTTATGTCTTTAAAATTTTAACATGCAGGGTACAACAAGCCAAAAGCCTGTTTTTCTTCTCCCATAACACTAAATGGCAAAAAAATTAACCACTACACATGCTTACATTTGGGAGAAATCTGCTTAAGGATTTTAAAATAGGGCTTCTCAAACTAATGTGTCCTTATCCTCTCCACATTTTGACATCATTGCAGCAGAAGCACAAGACGATGTATAAGAGCCTGTGTAGAATGTTGTTTTGGACAATGAAGAACCTTGGAGTTACAACTATGAACTACTGCATAGTAGTATTTTCATTCGAGGCTTATTCAGTCTCAATTTTTGACAAAAAGAAAATACAGATTTTAATCCGCAGGTGTTTATTCAGGTCTTTTTAATTGTTTGGATGGCAAGCATTTCTTCAGGTAACAAAGAACTTTAATAGAAATAAAAACATGATAGGAAGCACAAACCAGAAATGCCAGTAAACAGCCTCTGGCAGCAGAAGTGAGAGGTTAAACCATAGTAATCTATACTGACAGAGATGCAGAAATCACACGTTTGAGATGAACATACATATTCATATGCAATGCACTCAAGCACATACATCTGATTACTGATGACAGTAATGTACCAAGACTTTGGTGAGCCATGCACACTTTCACAGACTCCTTATTCAAACATTACACACATTATTATTCAAGGACATAAAGTTAAAAATAGACCAGGTCTTGATTAGCAGATCTGATTTCAAAAATTCAATAAAACTTAAATGATATGCAGCCCTGCTTTATGAAACAAGCCGGGTGAATCTCACTAAACCTGTCATGAACATGTCCGGATCATACTTCACAATTCATGAAAACAAAATTGATATTCCAATTAGGAAGCAACAACAGTATCTTTCTGTAATGCAATACACACTACATATTACATATGAGCCCCAGGCTGCTGTCTGACTTCATTAATTAAACACTTTGCAGTTCACCTATTGCGAATTAAAGTGCTACTTGATTAATGATTCATACAACTATAATGTACTGTCATCTAGTCTGAATGCTCCATCAAACTGAACACTAACTGAAACCACCAGCCTATATATGCAGCCAAAGGCTGTAATAAATGCATTCGCCTTTGACTCAGAAAGCATGCTGGAATAGATTAGCAGAAACAGCAGCAGGAACTTCTGAAGGGTGTGAGTAAACAAATGTGGCTGATAAAAACTTTCCACATACGAATGTAAGAGAAATGAGCATGACAAAATGATCAGGACGTTAAAAAGGATTTTTTTAATAACAAAAAACAAAACAAAAATCATGCTGTAAGAAAAGTGGCTACTGTATACATTCTGCATGCATGATTCGTAATTCATGTTTTATAATGCTGTTGTTGCATTGACTTTTTTTGAAAGGTTAAATGATCTCAAGTGGTTTTGCAGTTTATAGAATTTAAAAATAGTTAATAATAATAAACGCTAAATAAATTTTTTTATAAATTTATACTTTAGACCATCTTATAATTTTGTTTCAACCAGATATATTAGTTTCTCTTCAATAATATTTATGATTTGGCTCAAACCTTGCATTTTGATTTAATATTAAATCAAAAAATATTTACTTTCCTAAAGACAAAAACACTCATACAAAGTAAAAAGATTAGTATAAACACCATACACCTATTCAGTATATTTTCTTTAAAAAGGTACTTCATGTAGGTCAGTATAATATTTTTTGGGCTTTTCAAAACTTAATTTCACCATAAACAAAAGATAAATTAGCTATAATGTGAAAGTAGTCCTTTTTTAGTCAATGTTTAATTTAGTTTACTAAATAAAGACAACTTTGAAAGACTAATGCTTAATATGATGTCTTTTTAAAATGTGCTTGCAATAAAAAGAAAAAAATAAATAAATAACAGAAAACTGAATAAAAACCACAGTAATTTCTGCAGTCATAAGCCAGCTAGTATGTGTTCTGCACCAAGGTTAATATAGGTTTGAATTTTTAAATTAGTTTTTTTTTAATATCATTTTCAAATTTGCTATAAAATTCAGTTTAGTTTTTATTAGTTTCATTCATATTTTTGTTAGTTTTAGTTTAGTTTTTATTTTGTGAACGCATTTTTATTTCGTTTTTATATAGTTTAGTTTCAGTTTTAGTTTCAGTTTTAATTAAAGTTTAGCAGAATTAACAAATCACTTCCAGAGCGCAGGCCAAGAAAGTCGTAGGCATAATTTAACCTTAGTGAAGCAAACATATAGCGACCCGCGACTCGCGGTCTTTATGTCAAACGGTTCTGGTCTGGTACAGAATTAAATTAGTGCTGCTGTCAGATAATGGGTCGGGTGTTCTGATAAGTACTGCTGGTGCACGTTTACCAAACAGGACCCGTGCAGGCTTTGAACTGCTTTGCGTCTCTCCGTCAGATA